TACAGAAACTCTCCCACGATAAACCCTACCTGACAACGGAGCTACCGGTTACTGAATCACTGACAGATGTCGGGCTGCGTCTCCCAGCAGCCTGTTGACAGTTTCAGCCGGGAGAGCAAACGTGGCATCGGCACACGGCTGTCACTGCGCTTTTTTTGTGTGTGTTTTCCATTTTACACTTACAAACTGTACTTCTTGTACATGTACGTGAGAGAAGCACTGATGGTCAGAAGTATTTTATTGAACAGTCTTTCTTTTTTAAATAACGTTTAAATGTGTAAATCTCTATGTTGAACGAACATTTTCCAGAAGCTCTGCCTGTGGGAGATCAAACACGGACTTGTTCGTCTGAGAATGAGACAGGACCTCGACTGAAGAGTTAAAACAGGTTGGCTCAATCACGTTTAATAGTGTTACGTGTTCAAGAAGGAATTCACTTCAACGGTCACCATAATGCCTCGAATTTGTCATGAAAACCAGCCACCATTTTGTCATTTTGTTATGCTTACAAGATCCGGACTCTTTGAAAAGTGTGAAATGGCCTGTTTTTTATGCTATAGGGTGTTTACTAATGTTTGTAAAATTGGTCCGAGGTTAAAGTAGTCCGGTTTAAATGTAATAATATTAACCAATCAACGGTTACAATGTCCCTTACTGAAGTGCAACAAAGTCAAGAACCACATCTGCCAAAATCAACAAAAATAGGTTTGAATGTCAAATTCAGGTTGTAATTATAAAGAAAGTCTTCAGTGACGTTAATTGTACTATTAGGATTACGGTAAATTTATTGTAATTTTAGCTTTAAAGGGAATAGTTTGACAGTTTGGGGAAGAAATGTTGTTTTTGCTTTCTGGAGGATCTGTCCATTAAATATGAAGCTGAAGCCGCTTAGCTAAGCTTAGCTTAGCATAAAGACTGCTTACAAGTGAAAGCAACTAGCTTGGCTCTGTAAAGGTAATCTACGAAGCTAGGCTCACTGATCAACACATGATATATAAAACAACAGTTTCCCTGTTTCCAGTTTTTGTGCTAAGCTAACTGGCTGCAGGCTGTAATGGTCAGCCTCATATTCAACAAATACAAGATGTTTTCCACCATAGAGCAAATAATCATATTCCCTGACTTTTGAACTATTCCCTTTAATATATTGCCAGTTCTGACTTTGCAATAGAATTATTGAAGTACTAGATATGTTCTGCCATGTTCATGTCACCTTCCTGTATAGAAACTTTCCCAGGTAAGAGAAAAACGTCACTTTACAGTGTCGCCATATTGGTTTCACTTTGTTGTTTTTTTTTTTTACCATTGCTTGATGAATGTTTTCTTTGCCAAATAGGTACGACGTCTGCTGCTTTACAGTATAAGTTTCAGGGTGCACAGTGTGAATGATTGCTAAAGGGATGCAGTCTGGTACGCCCATATCCAAACTGCATGGTACTTTACCAGGAGTCAATCCATTGGAAGCCCTTCCCATCATGTATTATAAACCCAAAGTCCTTTATTTGACCTTGTCAGACTTAATTCCTTTAATCTGAACAAAAGATTAACCTAAAATGATCCCTTTGAAAAATGGATTGAGATAAGTTTAGGACTTTTTCCCCCAAAGTAGTTTCTGTGAGGATGCTTTTATGAAACAAACACTCTCATAAGTCCATGGTTCCTGTATATTTATTGAATATATTATTAAAAAAGATTTTTTTTAAACTGATAATGACACATTCAATAAAATGACAAGACATTGTACTTTATTATTCCTAATCGCAAAGAGATCCCAACTTGATTGAGCCTTCTGCTTATTTCATTGCCAAGGAAAACTAGCTTGTGCCACTGAACGCTTAAGGGGGGAGTTAACTGACCTGAGAGCAGCACTCAGGCAGGCAAATGTGTTTTATAGATGGCGAGATGACCTGGTTCTCAGAAAGGTTGAGTTGTAGTAGAATGTCATAAACTGAGCCTCTGCAGCAATCACTGGACGCGGAGTAAAGTTTCTTTTGAAGCCAAATCCCGACCTGCTCCAGGTGGCTGGTACTACTCTCTGCCCCCTCCAGTGCAATATAAAAATATTTGATTGGGCATGTTTAGCTAAAAGGGATAAAGGAAGAGCCAGATTCCTAATTACTCTGGTGTAAAACAGCAACATAGCTAAAACAAATCCAAATTGACTCTTCTGCTGCAGCAGACTTGAAAAACCCAGGCCTGGCTCCTAACCCGCCTCGTCACATCTGAACACTTCTATTGGCGCTCCAAGGGCCTCGTAATTACCTGGCTGACTGTCAACCTGTCCTCGGGGCATAGTGTTAGATGGGGTCGGCTGGTATTTTGGAACCTCCCATACCTCCAGTCCCTGGCTCCCCCCCTCCCCCCTCTATGGTCCGTGGCACAGCTGGTTTTCCATGGCCTAGAGCAGGATACATTTTGTTGGAAGGCCGCAGTCGCTCTGCTAGGTGTAAGTTGTTGTGAAACTCTGTGCTCCTGGGGCAGACCCGCAACTGTGGGCGAGGCTCCAGCCACTTGCAACGCTGCTTGAGCTGTACCAGACTGATGACAGCATCAAACAAACCATTGAAGGCCAGATAAATGGAAATAAAAACTCTCAACATTGTTAAAACATTTTGTGACTTATGGCCTCATTCTTTTTTTTCCCACCTTTACAGAACACGTTCCTGCACTTTGACGATATGATGATGCCTTAAAATAACAATGAATCAGAACTTTAAGGAAATTGTTCGACCTTTTGAGAAATAGGCTTATTTGCTTTCTTAGCAAATTAGCTAATTTAATACCACTCATGTCTGTCAGGTAAAAATGCAGCAGCGGCTAACTAGATAGCTTAGCATTAAGACTTAAAATAAGGGGAAATGGCTGGTCTGATTCCATCCAAAGGAAGCACCTCTAAAGCACCTCTAAAGCTCACTAATCAACATGTTATACATCTCGTGTGTTTCATTTATCCAAAGCAATTTGCGGTTTTACAGGGGCTTATGGGCCGGACTGTTTCCTGGACATGACAGGTTGCTAGGCAACCAGCCGAGATTTCAGGAAGTTACTGGTCCCATCTGGTCCCAACCAATAACTAGTCCATAACCCCCTTATAACAATAAATTATTTCATTTGAACAACAACTAAAATGTAAAACAACAAATGAGACGCAGTGTGTTAATGAGTGAGCTTTAACAGTGTTTGTTAGGCAGACTGTCTTCATGCCAAGCTGCTGCTGTCAGTAGCTTCATACACACAGATATGAAAGTTGCATTGAGGGGAAGCAAACAAGTGTATTTCCCAATGTGTCGAACTATTCCTTCAATAGTTATAATGCTGGTTTATACACAAATTGTACTTATACCAAAATGCAAGCCAAAAAAGAAAATCCTCTAGTGGCTGTTATTCCCCCTTTCTGCATCCAAAAGCCAATTGTTTATCTGTCAGGAATGTTGAACATCTGGTTTTCATTCATTTTATAATGAATACATTTTGACTTTAGTAGAACTTTGGCCGTGCTGGAGAACTGAAGAGACGAGGTGTGGTTTAAGCACCCCAAACCCAGAGGAGGGGTTCAGCTCTGACATCAGTGAGACAAGAAAAAAAAATATGCATCCCACACCCCTCAGCTTCAGCCAGCAGAGAGAGCGAGGAAGAGAGGGTGTCACTTTTTTTTTTTTTTATTGAAACACGGGTGTGGCTGTGTAGTTTTTTGGGGGGATTTTCTGACTCAGTTTTTCTCCTCAGATGAGGGTTAAATATTGGCTTTGTTCCAGATGAGGACCGTACAGGTAGAACCAGATTTCTCACAGCTCTGGACAATGTTTTCATTTATTTTAGCCTTTATTTAATAATACATCTTCTATCCCCTTGTAATGAGAAAATATGATTTACCTTTTTTTCTGTAATTTCGTTTTTTTGCCGCTCCAACTCACTTTACAGTGAACACAGCCGAGGTTGTCAGCCGCACTGCCTCACAGAAACAACCAGGTTTATTGGACTGCGCAGGCTTTTGCATATTCCTCCTCAGCGGGAAGCACCGTGTTTCTACATGAATGAACATGGCTGAGTTGTCAGAAGGCTGAATGGTGAAAGAGGCTCAATCTGTATTACACAGGAAGGGGAAGCTGCTCTTTGATACCAGTGGCATGCAGAGCTGTGTCCAATTCTGTAAGAGACTCAGCGAGCGCGAGACAGAATTTCATTCCTCTCGTTTAAAGTGGTGTCAGATGCATAGTGTACTGAGTTATGCAAGACCACAATGAAAAAAAAAAAAAAGATATGTCTTTGTATAACACATAGCCCAGAGAGACACCCATAAAACTGGTAAACCATTTGACTGATAATCCCAAAAAGATAAAAGCGGAAACGAATGAATGAATCTTTTGCATAATGTCATGTGCATGTAAACAAACTGTACAAAGCATAGCTTGTAGGCATAGTTGCAGCATGTTGTAGGCTCTTTGTAACAGTCTTTTCATTGCCTTTCTCTTTTGTCAATGGCTATGACTGATAGAGAAATGTCTGGTATGCTGGTGGCAGCTGAAGTCCAGAGAAGCCCAGAAGAAACAGGGAGGAGTCTGCTTAGTCGTGGACCGAGCTCTTTGGTCCAAGATTCAAAGACAGAAAAAAAATGCAAGTGTCTTAACATTGTCCTGTAAACAGTTAGTGTACATGCAAATCTTGCTGTAGGCAGGATTACTGGAAAACAAACCGTATCCTTCTGCTCTTGGTTAGTTCGGTGATTATAATGTCATTAATTTTCAGTCTGCCGTTGCCAGACTAAAGAGGCTGCAGCTGGAGCTTACGCTTCCATCAATAAAGTATGTCTGCCTCAGAGAAAAGTGGCAGATTAAAGGGTATCATGCAGTCTCTGGCAGTGAAGACTGGGAACCCATGCCTGTCCTCACACCTGTACGCAGCACACACACACACACACAACAACAACACACCACCACACACCACGACGACAACACACACACAACACACAACAACAACATCAACAATCCACTTTGACTGTCCAGGGAATGCTGTTTTTAAGTAAGTTCAGTATTCATAAATCTTCCTCCTATGTGTCAGTAAGTGTGTGCCAGTGGCAGACCTGCTGTCCCTCCGCCTCTTTCATCTCTGTCCAGTGGGCCTGCTGCTCCTCGCTGGAGCTGTTGAGGCCCAGGGAGACCCAGCCCAGCCTCTCCCTGGNNCCTGGGCCTCATGCTGCTCCGGCGGCAGAACACCGTCAGCACCAGCGACACCTCGGACAGCTGGAAGAGCGCCACCTGGAACACGAACGTCTCCTTGTAGGTGGGGTTGGGCTGGCCGCGGCATACGGCCGTCTTGCACTTGGACATCTCTTTCCCTTTGGAGTCCAGCATGGTCAGCTTCACGTAGGTGTCTGAAAGGAGGTGTGGCAGAGCGGTGAGAGAATGCCATCAAGTGGTGGCACGTCAGTACTGCAACAACCATTACAAACTGCAGCAGAGGCTTGTCTTCTTGGGCTCAATCATTTAACTTTAAAAGCAGAGTTAATGTATGGAAGTAAACCAGAATTAGAATGTGTGTTTTTAAAGGCTCAGTTTACAAAAAAAGTATATGGGAAAAAAAATGTTTTCTTCAATTACCTCTATTGGTATTTAGCCATAATATTTGTGGTGATTACAGCATTAAAAAAAACTTTTGAAAGGGTCTTAAAACTATTCCCAAAGAGATAAAAATAAATATCTGCCTATTGGCTCCAATAAAGCTCTCAAATTAACATTTGTTTAATCAATACAAAAACATTACCTCCCATAAAAATGTGTCAAACGCTGTGTGAACTTTAGAGGTGGTGGTCAAGATCTTTTTCTTTTTCATTGGACAGCCAGGCTAGCTGTTTCCTGTTTACAGTCTTTATGCTAAGCTAAGAGTCTCCAGGCTCCAGCTTCATGAATATTGTACAGAGATCAAAGTGGCATCGATGTTCTCATCTGCCTCCCAGCAAGAAGTCAAATACGCATATTTTCCAAAATGACTACCCCAAAGCTGTTCCTTTAAAGAGTTAAAGGATAAAATGTTTTTTTTTTTTGGTGCTGAGAGCATCATAAACAGGACAAATAAAATCAGAACATTCCCACAATCCCACAAGAGGTGGAGAGAAAATATGTTATGAAATTTCAATCAACCAGACCTAGTGAGTAAAAACAAATATTTGGAGGATTATGTGCTAGAAGTGTTTTCTTGTTTATTTACACACTGCTAGAACTTCGTCCAGGGACCCAAATATGTGGAGTTTTGGGTTTGGACCTTAAACTATACCATACAAATTGGAGCTCCCACGATTAGTCGATTAATCAGTCAGTTGTCAAGTATTCAATTCATCAAATGTGAGTGTTTTCAGGTTTCTTTAGTCCTCTATGACAGTGAACTGAATATCTGATCATCATCTTGGGCCTTTGGGGAACAGTGATCAACGCTTTTCACCATTTTCTGACATTTAATGGACCAAACAACTAACCGATTAATCGACAGTGAAAATAATCGTGAATAAAACACTGAATACCAAAAGATTACTTGTAAGTTCTTTGCTGCTGACTTACCTCTCATGATATAAAGCTGCCCCCCAACAAAGTGCTTTATACAACAGAACAGACCATCTGTGGCACACACCACGGCACACAAGGTTGGAAAGAAGAAAGAGAGGAAGCAGTCAGAGTGAGCACTTTAAAGATTGTGATACACACCAAAACGTCAGCCCTTCATGGGAACTCGGCAATGGCTTCAGCATTATGGCTTTAATCACTTAGGTTATTAAAAAGCCGGTGCTGTTGCCAGGAGACATTTAAATGTAATGGCGCACCATTTGTTTTCGTAACATGCTGCTGGGACTCTTGCCCATCTGTTATTGCCAAAACAATTGCCGAGAGTATCAGCACACTTTAGGGAAGGCCCATTACAAGGGCGAATTTCATTGGAAGGAAGATTTACGCTGTCATTCAGCACCTCATTCCAAGCTGGCACGAAAAACCCAAATAATTAAAACAGTTCAACATGGAAGCTTTTGTACGTACTGACGGGTTTATCGGACGCTGTGGTTTTGAAGTGGCTTCCCTGGATGACCTCAGCAGATAACTGTCCCGTGGCAGAGTTGTAAATGAGACCCAGGAGGATCTCTGGCAAGGATGAGTCTTCAGTGGAGCGGTAGGACAGAGCTCCCGCGCTGCGAGACACACTCACCAGAGAGCCGCAACCCTGGTGAGATGAAACACACGGGCAGTTATTTAAAGAAGAGAGGGAGATTTTTAGAGTTTGTACCAACTACAAAGCTAGAAAGAAGAAGGCATTCCAAGATCGTTTGGCCTTCACCTCAGACAATCAGGCCACCAAATTTCACAAAGAACTCTTTAGCCACGTTAGCACCATGGCTCCAGTACAAAACTTTAGTTCAGACAGAAATATCTCTACTACTATTAGTTGAGATGGATTGTCATGAGATTATGTACAGATGTTCTTGGTCCCCACAGGATGAACCCTACTGATTTTGGTGATCCTCTGACTTTTCCTCTAGCGTCATCATGAGGTTGACATTCGTGGCATTGAGTAAAACATCTTTAAAATATGAATTGCCATGAAATGTGCTACATACATGTTCCCCTCAAGATGAATTATAATAACTTTGGTAGTCCTCTGATTTTACATCAAGTGCCATCATTAGGTCAAAGTTTTAATTTGTTCAATACTTTGGTCTACTTCCAAATATTACTTTTTAAGCAAAAATGACCAACATTTGCTTGTTCCACTTACTTAAATGTAAGGAATCTTCTGCACTTTCTGGTCTTACATTAGGGTAAATTGAATATTATTGGGGTTTGAACTGTTGGTTGAACCAAACAAGACATATGTAGATGTCACCTTGGGTATTTTTCACTTTTTTATAGTTTTATAGGCCAAAAAATGAGTTGGTCAATTAAGAAAATAAGAAGAGGATTAATCAGTAATCTTAAAATAGTCCTTATATGAAGCTCCAGACCTATCTGCTGTTGAATAAAACAGCTCTAGAGTTCATATTGTTTATCGTCCCACTGCCTCAGGTGAAACTATGCACAGTGCAAGACAGAAATTCACAAAGTGTTCTCACGGTAAGTTCAGAGCCCGGCTCCAGGGTGACAGGTAGAGCGATCTTGCCCTGCAGGTTGAGCTTAGTCAGGTAGAACACCTTCTCTCCCAGGACCTTCTCCTTTTTCATCCGCCTGATGCTGTACAGGCGGAAGCGAACGGCGTAGTCCCCCAGGGCCTCCTGTTCCACCCTGGAAAACTTGAAAGTTTCCGTGAAGACAGGACACGGGCCCTTCTGCACGCCGGTCTTGGCCCGTTGCTTCTTGGTGGGCAGCAGGACCAGGTGGACCTGCCACGCGATGTTTCCCGTCTGTTTAAGAGCAGGAATGTCTGTCGCCGCGGTTACCGTGACAGCCAGATACTGCTCGCTGGAGTCGTACTCGAAGGCGACGTCCAGGGTGCCGTATTTGCCGAGTGCCTCTGGCTCGTAGGCCGTAGGGAGCTGAGGACCAGAGCCGTCCTGAAGGGAAGAAAAGGGAGAATCGTCAGAGGAATAGTGGATGGAAAGAGATAGAGAGTGTTAAAGAGGAAGGAATCTGAAGTGTTGTAACTTATTAGCCTTCATCAACTTCCTGCTGTTGCTGCATAGTATTAAATAATTGATGTTTTATGTCCCAGCAGACTTGGGTCAAAGACGAGGTGATATGCAAGTCATATAAAACAATACCATTTATTTTTTCTATTAGCTTTCTGGCACTGATTGTATGTCTAAAGCGTTTACTGATTTTCTCAACAAACAAATAGAACAGAAAAAAAAATCAGTTTAGAATCGTTTTCACCCAGATTTATTCCCCCACACATTCATAAATTGTGTGTTGCTGCAAGACTACTTCGGTTACGACTTTTTATGACATAGACAGGTCTGAAAAGTGAAAAATGGGGGGGAAATGCAAATGGACTTCTGGAAACCCCTGAAGTTAACTGACAAAACAATAAATTATTAAGCTGTGTTTTGCGGCAAACGTTATTTTTAGAGTCCAATTAGAATCAGATTTTCAACAGTTTTTTAATGTTCCAAATAATCCCCAATAAATTATCTGATTTATTTTTTTAAAATAAACAGATATAATGATCCTTATGAGGCATATTTTGTAGGACCAGTGGAAACTGCAACAATGCAGCTAAATTTGTTTTTCTCCTAAACAACTACAATCAGCCCTCTGTGTGTGTGTGTGTGTGTGTGTGTGTAAATCCAGATGGTTTTCCCCTTGGTGGCCCATATTTTATGGGCTGCAGCTATAAGCGGAGGGAAAGAAAACAAAAGAGTATCTCTGAATCTGAATCAGTGTGTGGCTGTGTCAGGATGACCTGGGAGGAATGTCCCAGAACAATAGATGATATATTCATTACACAAACAGGGAAGTCGTCATGAGCCCCAGACGTGACCAAAAATGTATATCTCATATCAAATTTCATGATACTGTTAATCTCATGATACTGTCTGATCAGGTAGACCACTGTCAGAAGGAAAAGTATTAGATTATGAGACCGTTTAGTTCAGTTGATCTTGACTCTATTCTGTATTAATACAAATAAACCTTATGTGAAGTGAAGCTGCCTGATTCTATTTGTCGTTTATGAGTCCTCCTTTAAGTTTAAGTCAGTATTTTTATGGATTCAGGTAAAAAATAAGCAATCCTTATGTTTAGATGACCTGTTACTGACACTGTTATGGAAGTAACATTATTACAGTGAACAAGTTATCTAGTTACAGTAGTAAATGCCTAATTAACTGGTAATAATGATGACTTTTTGTACTATAGTTATGGGGAATTACAGGGCAGGTATAAAATATAATATATATATTTTTACACAATAAAAACAATTGTTATGGGCTGCTGGAGGACACAGAAGAGGGAACATACAGTAGCTTTGATCTCACCTCTGGTCCCAGCACAGCGGTGCTGTCACTGGGTATGTCCTCCTCACAGCCTTTGTTGAGGTAGCTCTCAGTGTCCTGGTCCACACTGGCCTCACTGGAGCACCGGGGGCTGTCGCAGCGCTGTGGGGACGACCCCCTTTTGACCCCTCGCTCCGAGCGGGAACGAGAGGACACGAGCGCCGCCGAGCCCTCGTCCTGGTACGGAGGAGGCTTGTGCTCATTGAGGGAGGAATCTTTCTTTATTGTCTGGATGCTGTTGGCTACAGGAGGGATACAGGAGGAGTAATGTGATATGAAAGGTGTGCTACTGGAGACTGCAGGGATACTTATTATGTATGCAACATACAGTTTACCACAGAGTCGAGTTGACCTCTTAAACCGTGCCGATCCACAGGTGAGTCCATTTGAAAGTTTTTTTTTCAAAAAGTATGTTTCAAGAGGTTTCAAGATGCCATTTCATGTAAAGATTCAGCCACAAAAAACTTGGCATCTTGGCAAGTTCTCAATTTAATACTGATGCCTTTATATGACCTACATAATCAAACAAGACTATCAGCAATAAGATTTCTATATAGTTATTCTTAATGCGTGCCACTGGGTTGGACTAGATCGGATTCCCCTTTAAATCAATTAAACAGGTGGGGGAAACACTACCGCTTTTGTCCACAGGGGCCGCCAGCATCAACAAAAAATGATGCTTTAATCAAACAAGATCTACATGTGTTAATCAGTGGACTTCAGAGGTGCTT